TAATTTTATTTACACTATTTGTTTTCTTTCATTTCAATACACATTATTCTATTTCTCACAGCACAATGCTTGAATTTGCATGCTGGGGAAGCTTTCTTTTTCATTTTTAGCTCAAAGCTTTCACACACACCCCAAGTCCCCTTTTATGTTTCTTCTCTATGCTATTTTATTATAACTATATTAATTGCACAGATTTATTTTCTACTTTATACTGTTTTATTTACAAAATTAAAATTTCCTGGTTATTAGTACTTAAATAACTGTAGGAGGGATATATTCTATGAACGGGTTACAACTATTAGATCAAGTATATAGGTGAATTAATAATGTACACATATATTTTAATAGTTAGCAATAGCAAAATAATATTTGCCCATATCTCATAGGTGATGAATTTATAAGGGCGCAAACACATCTTCAACAATTGATAATAGCAAAATCACAAGTGTCCAAATTTATCAATATTAATTTACATTAAAAGAGTTGATATAGAAATTTACATGTGTTTATATGTGAGTTTACAAATATACATATACTTATCTTATATTTCGTAAATTACAGTTAAAAAACTATTTATAAACTATTCTAAACGGTTCTTATATTTTGTACTTATTCTCATTATTAATAAGAGTGTATTTGGAAGAAAAAATATACGTTTTACATATTTATTATTTAAAACTAATTTCTTAAAATTTATTTTATATTTTAAGTCGGAGGTATTAAAAATTAAGTCTGATATGGACATGAATCAGCACCCAAGCCGCCTTTGGTTCACACTCCACGTGTCAGTCTCTTGACACTACCCATCATTCGATGTTTGACATTATAAATTTCTGTTCTTCGACTCCACGCCACAGCGTAGCAAAGCATCCATCCATCACGTGCTTTTCTTTCTTTAAAATTTTTTATTTGAAATATTAATTCTTTAAAGTATCATTTATTTTAATATTTTAACTAATTGAAACTTTTAAGAAGAATCCCACACAAAAATTTAAAATTATTAAATCTTAAATAAATTTAGTAAGAGCACTATAATAGATTTTGATAACATAGACTTTTATAAAAATGTATTGTTATTTATAAATATAGTATTATTAAAACCTATTAAAGCGTTGCTACTGAACTTTATTTGGGATTTTGTAATTTTAAAATTTTTTTTTAAAAGATTTTCCTTTTCTAATTGATAAATCTTATTGAGAATAATTTTAAAATTTAAAGAGTATTAATTAATTTTAAATAATTTTTTTAATTTATGTAACATTGTCAATAGATCAATATAATAAATATAAGGAGTAAACTTTTTTTTAACCAAAATCTTTTTAAAAGGATTTTTTTTCCTCTCTAAATGTAGAAACTACATGATTAATTTATAGATATTAAAAAAAATTAATTATTCACAATAAACATGTGTTTATCTTTTTAAAAACACTCATATAATCATTTGGATTATAAACTATATTGATGAAAATCCTTTTCAGTATGGGTAATTAATTGGTTATTTAAAAAATAATTATAAATTTAGAAGAAAAATTATATTAATATATTACATTTATTACTACCAAAATTGAAATTATTAGCTTTTTATTAAGGATTTTTTTCCCAGAATATATTGCACTATTTTTAATAAAATAAAAAAATCCTACTTAATTTTATCTACTTCTTTTTATCTAAGTTTTTTTATAGGAGCTAATAGTTACTCTCTCATTCGATTAAAAACTTCTTAGTTAGAAATATTACTTCCTCCACTTCTTAACCATATAGAAGTTAGTTAAAAACTAGATTTGGCCTTAAATATAAGACTTAAATTCATTTTACCTCCCAAATTTATAATTTATTTTCTAATGTATTCATATTTATTACATGTTTAAAAAAGTTTTCATCTAGATAGTCATAATTAAGAAAAGTACTTTAGAAATATTAACTCATATTTGTTATAAATAACCAACTTAACTAATTTTCTCAATCTACTCAAATTAGTTACGTAGCTCTTATATTTAGGACTGAAAGTAATAATATACTACTTTCTGTTCTTAATATAAGAGCTAGTATGACTTTCAATTTGATTCTAAATATAAGACCCTAATCCACTTTATCTATCATATCTAGCTATTTTTTTTAAAGTAATCATTGTAATAGTTGTATATGTTAAAAATATCATCAAATTGTGGTTCTAGCCAATATATATAATTAGTAAAAGTATTTTAGGAAATTCAACTCATATTCATTATAAATAACTAACTTAATAAACTTTTTAAATATGTTCAAATTAATTAATTAGTTCTTATATTAAAGATAAAAGGTAGTAGTTCGATTTATGAATGATCAGTATAGTTTTTTTATATTATGAGAACATCCTTTAAGAGGGAATATTAACGATGAGATGTAATATAATTAATCTCTTAATGTCCATGCTAAAATATGGATAACGCAGGCCGGGAACTTCTTTAAAACTATATTAATTTCTTTAAAATTTTGTAAAGACCAAATGTTCCCCAATGCCGAACAAAATTTTTTGTTAAAAAAATTCCTAACAATTTTTTTAATCAATTAATATAAAATATAAACTACAGTTTATATTAGTATCCCCCTAATATAAGAGCGACTTGTAAATTTAATTTGATTTTCAATATAATATCTCAATCTATTCTGTCACCTATATTGATCCGTTTTACTCTCAAATAATCTATATGATAATTATATATGTTAAAGAGCTTCTGTCTTCTTTTTTTTTGGCCACCATTAAGGGGTTTCTATCAAAGTTAGTTCCAATATATATAATTAATAAAGATATTTTGAAGAAAAATATTATTTATTACAAATAATTAACTTAATTATTGATATCCTTAATATTTATAAATTAATTATCTATCTAATTCTTATATTAATTAACAAAGACAATACTAATTATGAGCAGCAATATCAATCATCTTAATCTTAAATTAATAGATAGGAAAATTACACTCAAGTCCAAAATAAAAAATTTCATTACTATATAAGGTCTTTTGAAATATTTAAATTAATCTCAGTCGTAAGAATTGATGAGTGAAAGATTGTAATTGTGAATTAGTCATATTTTCCTCATTGATATACATACTGTCGTTCTCTCTTGTCAATTCCAACCACTATACGTGTCAATTGTGCCTACATGGATTGTCATTCTATGCTGCAAAATTGTTAAAGTGAAATGACATGCATTGACAACTTATTACGTCTTAATTGACCAGTTAGGATACACGACAACCTGCAGGGGCTTAATTAAAAAGTAAATGAGTTAGAATTAACAAGGGAGGATATTGAGGAAAATATGTTAATTCACAATTGCAATTTCTTACCTACATGTTCCTTGGTATTGAGATTAATTTAAACATTTTAAGAGACCTTATATAATAAAATCTCTTAAAATTTGAGTGTAATTTTTCCTTGAGAAATTTTGTCTGAAAAATCATATCTGGTTCTAATCGGTATTTACGTAAAATATAAAAATATTTTTTTCCCATCAATATAAAAATAAATATTGAACGTTCCTGACTTATTTTTATAATTTAGAAACATCTATATCTAAGAATTAGTGTATAATTTATTTTTTTCCCAAAAATTTATGCAATAAAAAATGTAATTCGAAGACAATGAAACCAAGCTAACAGCTCATCAATTAATTAATACTCCTCCGGTCCTTAATATAAGACCCATTTAACTAATTTGATTAGATTAAGGAAGTTAGGTAAGTTAGTTAATTATAAGAAAAGTGACACATTTTTCCTAAAACACCATAATCATCTTTCTTAATACCCCCTCTTCCTCTTTTACTTGATTATGGTTGAGGGAGTATTCATATGGGTAATTTAAAAAAATTGATAAATATGAGAAAGGGCTCTTATATTTAGGACCAAAACCAACTCAAGAATTGGGTCATATATTAAGGACCGGAGGAGTAGTATACTTCATCATGAGATGTAATAATGCATTAACTGACAAACACCCCTTGTCCCTTCCCTTGATTATCAAGTATTATAAAAAAATTTTGTTATGCGTTTCGTGTAAGACATCAATGTTTTTGCGTGATTATATTTCCTATTTCATGAGTATCATATGTTTGAGTTTTATAATTTTTTTATATTATGCTCTACATTCTATCTCGTGTTTAATATAAGAGCTAATTAAAATTTTATTTAGTCTAAATATAAGTTCTCAATATATTTTGTTTCATCTTTTTTCAAAATATTCTTATTAATTATAAAAAATTCCAACCAAAATGTAGTTTCAATATGCTTTCTCCCAATTTTAAATTCATAAAGAATGCCAGTAAAAATAATTCATGAAGATTAAAGAAATTGCTTAAATCAAGTTATCTATTATCATATCCTCCTTCCCATTAAGTCATTAAATTTGTTTGAAAATGAAAAAAAATGTTTAAATTTATACATACTTAAAATCTTGACTTAAATTTTGAGAAGTAAAAAAAAATTTGAATCAAATTTTAAATAAGAGCAATCTTGAAAAATATAATTGATTCCATTCTTAATCTTGTTTTTCCAAATAATACAGCATCTTTTTTACTAGGAAATAATACAGTACTTAATAATTTTATAATAATAACCGCTTTTTTCTTCCTAAAAAAGTAAAAAGTGTTTCATAATTGCTATCGGAGAGATTATGTCACTTTTTTTAAAAAAAAAATTTAATTAGAATATAAGAGATAAAAAAATTAAATAAAATTGTGAAATTAATAAGAATAATGTGTCAAGAAATATTAAATGATGGAGAAAAACTAAATTGATAATGGTATAAGATAAACCTTAGCGAAATAATTCAAGTTAACCAATTAATTAATTGATTAATCATATGGTTCCACACTGTTCTACTGTCACAACGACACGTGGCCAACGAAGCCTTCTTTGTTCCCTTTCCCGTGCCCCACACACGAAGAAAAAGCGCCTCCCTCGTTTCTGTATTAAATATGAGCTTTTGAGCGCTCATTCTCCCACAACTTCATTCACAAACTCCATTGCGTTCCAATTTCAAACTTAATTTTGATCTCTGATACTTTCAACCCATTTCGTTCTGGCGGGTTTTCTCTGAATACTGAAAAGTCTTATCATTTTTCTTTTATTCTTGAGGTGAATAAGTGTTTCGGCCATGGAGGTCTCGGCTACAATTGGTAGCTCTCAAGCCAGGCTCGGAAGGCTCGATTTGTCTTATAGAGATGTGGGATTCTGTAAAGTTAGAGATAATTGCAGGTTTTCGACTTGTATTGGCGCGAATACGCGGTTGAAGAAGGCTGGGATGTGGTTCACTTTGAAAGCTCTTCAATCTGAAGTCGTTCGAGATGAGAGGCAATCTGCATCTGGAAAGCGATTGTCATCGGTGAGTTTATTATTTTACTATGGGCTGTGTGGTGTTTGGTTCATCTTTGACTTGGGAAAAAAAGAAAAAGAAACTTGCAAGTCTAGTTTATTTAATTGACTTGAATTGAACTGCTTATCTCATAAGTTGGAATTTTTTAATCTCCTTACCCAGTCGATTTGATGTCTCGAAGCTATCTAAATTCTTGATTAGGCCCTGTCGGAGTCCGAGCTTCTTAAGCCGAATAAATTTACTTGGCTTTGGGCTGGTCAAATTTTGACTAATAATAATGATTCAATATTTGAAGATCAATCATCTTGATCTTCTAAAAATAAATTGTCGTAATTTACTTTTTCTTTTTCATGGATGGTTTGTGTTTACCGTGATCGAGACATACAGGAAGTTTCAGCTACGGAGTTTTTGCGAAGTCTTCCCTTATGGAATCCCAGTGCCACGACATGCATATTGAAGTTGAGTTGGCGAAATGAATTGGACAGAACAAAACCTTTCTATAATTATATGTTAGATCAAATAGTGGGTTTATATTTGGTTTTAAAAAAAAAGGGAGAACATACTTTTCATTTGATGTCCTGTTATGCTTTGATCTCAACTTTTCTCTATGTCGGAATTTACCTATGTGCGGGAACGATGCCAGAACTAATTTATTATTTATAAAATATGCCCGCTATATCCCTGTCCGCTATTGAAGATAAGCGCTAGAATGATAGTTTAGGCCAGCAATAGTCGAATACAACAAACAAAAGGACATATAAACAGCAAGAAAAGGCGTCCTCTGGCATTTGAGAGACTAGGGACTCTGCCATGCCACCACTCACGTATTCCTTAGCTTTCACTGATCCCATCACCCACAATATACTCTGCTTTTCTCTGCCCATGATTTGGTTATACAGCCCAGCTACTTGGGGAATTGGGTTTTAAAATTTTGTAGCATGGTTTTTTTGATCAAAACTTGCCTTTAGTTGCGTTATTTTGTTTTACTCTGTTTCTGGCCTATTGATCATGTGTATTGCTGAAATCAGCCCCAGTCTACTTGATGGAGAAAATGGATTAAATGTAAGATACATGCTAATTGTACATCATATAAACATCATAACCATAATAAAAGAGAGATTGGGGGAGGTGGGGGGGGTAGAAAATTATTCTTTACCTCCCGACTTTTAGTGTATAAACATATTCCCTGAATTGAGCTTTAGTTACAGCTGCATAAACTTTCAAATATGTTTTAACACCTTGTGCTCTTGAAAGCAAGTAGAAAGTTAACTCTTGGTCCTTTTTATCTCGTAAAAAGATTGTGTGGCCTTTGATTTTTGTGATTTCTTTCATATTCCTTCAATTTATCTTATAGAAATAACAAAATCGCTAACTAGGTCAATGTGGCGGCAAGGGTAAGGAAGAAGAATGACATTTTTGGGCCTGGTTGAAGGACGAGGATTACATTTAGTGGCTTATTTTCCTTTATGGTATATATTGACGTTAACTAAGGCGGAAGGTTACTGTTTTTCAACTTTTGTCCCTCGAAAAGAGAGTTATGTCCTAAAGTTGTAAGTATTCAGAGGATAAACAAAGGGATTATCAAGTGTTAGGAATTGAAAGAAAGCTAACTTGCATGAACTAATATTCTGCAGGGAAATGGTGTCAGATTATTTGTGGGGCTGCCATTAGATGCAGTTTCTTCAGACTGCAAAGCAGTAAACAATGCTAGAGCAATTGCAGCTGGCATGAAAGCATTGAAGCTACTAGAAGTTGAGGGTGTTGAACTTCCTGTTTGGTGGGGACTTGTTGAGAAAGATGCCATGGGAAAATATGACTGGTCGGGCTATCTTGCTGTGGCTGATATGGTTCAGAAAATGGATCTCAAGCTCCATGTCTCTCTTTGCTTTCATGGCTCTAAAAGCCCATATATCCCACTACCCAAGTGGGTGTCCCAGGTTGGTGAATCCGAGCCCGGTATTTTCTTCACAGATCGGTCTCGACAATACTATAAAGAATGCCTTTCAGTGGGGGTTGATGATCTTCCCGTTCTTAATGGGAAAACTCCAGTCCAAGTGTACCGAAGTTTCTGTGAGAGCTTTAAGTCTGCATTCTCTCAGTTCATGGGCTCTTCAATAACGGTATGGATTTGGGATTCTGAAACCTATTATTTGCTCTGATAGTGTTAATTTATAGGGTAAATTGCAATTTTTTTCCTATAGGTTTGTCTCGCAATCAGTTTGTTTTCCTGTGGATTAAACTTTAAAATGTGTTATTTAATAGTCCTGTGATTTCTGCTATTACCGCTGAATCATTATGTCTTCTTTTACCACTTAATCACATGAATATTGGGATGACAAACAATTTTGTTGTTCGAAGTCCAATTCACTTGTATCTTACGCTTTTTTATAGCATCTTGAGGTTATCGCTAGAATTAAGCAGATGATTTATTTTCCAAATTTCAGTTTATCTCCACAAACAGCTTTTTTATTTATTTTTTAAAAAAAATTTTTGGCCAACAACAACGGCAAACTGATAACCTTCGTTAGACAAAAACCACGTCCAACAACAGAAACAAAAGAAACGCAAAGCAAAACACAAACAGCTTTCAAGACTATGAAATTATTCAAGATATGAAACATATTTTCAATTATAAAACTATTTATCATTTTAGCGGATCACAGGATTAGCTAGTATAACTTAAACCCCAAAGGGGTAAACTGATGTTACACTAAACCACAGCGGCAAACTATAATTCGCCTGAATTTATGTAATTGACAAAGTTATCTTGCTATACTGCAGGGGATTTCAATGGGATTAGGACCGGATGGTGAGCTGCGATATCCATCTCATCACCAGCTACCCACCAACAATGGAACTCATGGAGCTGGAGAATTCCAGTGCTATGACAAAAACATGCTTACCATTCTCAAGCAACATGCTGAAGCATCTGGAAATCCTTTATGGGGTCTTGGTGGTCCACATGATGCCCCTTCCTACAACCAATCACCAAACTCCAACAGCTTCTTTAGAGATGGAGGATCTTGGGAATCTCCATATGGGGATTTCTTCCTCACATGGTATGCTAATCAGCTTTTAGCCCATGGAGATCGCCTCCTTTCTATAGCAGCTTCAACTTTCAGTGACACTGCAGTGTCTATATATGGAAAAGTCCCGCTAATGCATTCTTGGTACAGAATGCAATCCCATCCTTCTGAGCTAACTGCTGGATTCTATAACACCATTAAAAGAGACGGTTATAAAGAAGTTGCGAAGATTTTTGCAAAGAATTCATGTAAAATGATAGTGCCGGGAATGGACCTCTCAGATGCAGTTCTGCCGCAAGAAACCCTCTCAAGTCCTGAGATGTTACTTTCGCAGATAATGGCCGCTTGTAGAAATAATGGAGTTGAGGTTTCAGGGGAAAACTCTTCAGGTTCTGGTGCTTTTGGGGGCTTTGAACAGATTAAGAAGAATATTATAGCCGCAAATAATGTGTTGGACCTGTTCATGTATCATAGAATGGGAGCTTCTTTATTTTCACCAGAGCATTTTCCTTCGTTCACAAAGTTTGTTCGGAGCCTTAAGCAGCAGGAAATGCATTCAAACGATGTAGCTGCTGAATCTCATGTGAAGAACTCAGAAACAAGCATGCAGATATGATACTTGTGATATGATGATAGTTTTGTATATAAATATTTGTAATGAAAATGTAGACTGTAGGTGGTTATGTATGTTCCCATGGTGTGATCGCATCATCATTGTGGGTTCGCTGTGAGAGACTTGGAGGGACTCCTCTGTATCATCAGATAGAAACACTTCTTGGAAATACCAGCTGGGTATGCTTCATTCTCAAACATACATGGTTGAATTATTGAAATGCTATGGAGAGAAGAGCTAGTTGTTGATAGAGTGTAATCATGGAAGTTCAATTTTTACTCTGTAAAGCATGCAATTGCACTATCTCAGAAGAGAAAAATAAAATAAATGTTCTTAAAGCGTTTGCAGGTATTTTCAAATTTATTATTTTTTCTTTTTATTTATTTTCAATCGCTTTAGACATTGCATAGTAAAAATATTGTAGAAAGGAATTTGTATTTAATTGGTGAGGGGGCTCCATGCACTATTTTGAGGTAGAAGTGGGGTTGCTTGTTGCTAACTGGAAATGATGATGGCTATATGCTGGTTTCGCGGATTGCTGCTGATGTAGTTATGAGATATGTTGAATTATGCCAAGAATTGTTAGAGTTTTCAATAATTATGGGGATCCTAATTTGATTTTGATGGTTTCTGTTTAACAATTGCTTGCAGTAAAGGTGCCGTTGCTTGAGTATGAAATATGATGAATTATGCTAAGATTTATTAAGGAACATCTGACAAAACGAATTTCATCAAAGGGAGCTAAGATTTATTAAGTTTTTTGCAATCACAAGAGTTAGACTAATTGCTTATCGTCAAACCGATTAAGCACTATAGTGAATCAATTGCTAGAAGAACCATTTTGTACCAAATGGACAACTAGGGGTATACATGGACCAGACTAGACTGAGTTTGTTATCAACCCGAAATCTGGTCCAGTAAAGACCTTAGGCTAAAAAAGACAATCCAAGGTATGGTCTAGTCCAGTATCAACCCAAGGTCAGGTTGGACTGGACTTGGTTCTCTGGACTACCTGGACCAGTCTAGGAAGTCCAGAACCTAAATTTAATATTTTTTTTAAAAAAATTTCTTCAACAGGAGGTAAGATTATAACTTACTATATAAAATTTTGCACATATTTTAATCCAAAGTTCATCAAATTTGATCATTCCCTTTCAATTTCCCAATAATGTCATGTTTTATTAATTAATCCTCATTAATATAGATCTTGTATTGTAGAAAATATATACACATGCTCATTACTTAGGAAATTAATAGATAAATCTTGATTATTTGAATAGACAAAAAACTTTTATAGAAAAATTAAATCAAATTAAAATTATATAAATAATAATTAAAAAAAATTGGGCTAGACTAGACTAGACCAACTGGTCTGAGGAGCTAGTCCCTAGTCCAATCCAGCCCGATGAGACCAGCCTGGTCTAGTCTGGTCCAGTCTTGTTTCAGGTTAATTTTTCTAGGCCAGGCTGGACTGGGTTTGCTCGAGTTAGACCGAATCATATTGGACCACCGAGTTTTCGCACAGCCATATGGACAACTGTCACGAAATGGAGCAACCATTCAAAACTAACAAGATTTTGAACTCAAATTAGGGGTGAGCAACAAACCCATTACCCACTACCCGCCCATGGCTCATGAAATTTTGCCCATTTAAGCCCGCCCAATACGCCCAAATAAGAGATTATAAACAGGCGGGCTTAAATGGGCGGAGTAGCCTATTAAATGGGTTGGGCTATGGGCAAGGTATTAGGCTGCCCATACCCGCCTGTTGAAGTTTTAATTTTTTAAAAATATTTTTATTCTTCATTTAATTGATGATATTGTTTCTCATTCATCTTTTATTAAACATTCATGCTTGTCTAAGCTTTTATTTTATCTTTTAGATGAAAGTTGGAATTTTGAAAGTTTATGAGACTTTATGATTGGTGACTACTTTTGTGATTTTATCAGACTTTGATAGTTTGTGAATCTAAGTGAGGTTGTGTGATTGAATATGGTTGATATTATTTCATATTTGATTTGCTATTTGGCATGCAAAATTTATTGACAACTTCATAAGGTTGCATATACAAAATAGCTATACTGAAATTTTTTTTTTAAAAAAAAAATGGGTTACCTCATAACCCAGTTAGCCCAAATGAGCTATCCCGTAGCCCATTTAATATGGGCTAAATGAGCTACTACTGGGTTATGGGTTAGCCTATGCCCATTTATTCATAAATAGGCGGGCTATGAAGGTTAGCTTACCCCGCCTATTGCTCAGCCCTAACTCAAATGTTGCAGCCTACACATTATATATATGCCCTGAAAGAACATACATACATATATAAAACCCTTCTTCTATGGATTCAGCAAGCAAAGGAATTGGACATGCTCACTAAGATAGCAGGTTCGATCCTAGAACACATCATAGTATTGGGGGAGGTATCTTCAAAACCAAAGCCTCAGCTCGTAACATGTGGTGATTTCCATGTGAAGCTCTTCCCGTTCCAGTAAATCTATAGCACTGCGTAAGGCTAGGGTTAAGAGTTAGTTGTTTTACTTTTGAATTGTAGGTGAACCCAATTCTTTTCCTAAACTTTATTTCACGAAAAAAGAAGAAGAAAATATATAATAAAAAAATATTAGAATTGGAATTCATTATTCGAATATCAACTTAAAATTTTCAAGCTATTATAATCATAATATTATGATAAAATATGATATTAAGATAAATATACATGTATACATGTTTTAGGGCCAAAAATTGCTAGAAACGAATTAAAAACTTTAATATTAAATTAAATAAATACGAATTTAAATCCAAGTGAGTTGAATTCAAATTACAAGTTAATAATAAAAAATAATAAGCAAACAAAGTTCACAAATTATATAAACTTATAATATTACACACACGTATAATCATAGTCACAAGGCAGCATTAACTTTGGCTACATGCAATCTTTTTCTCGGAAATTCTTCAATGTGGAAACTTCCTTGCTCATTCTTCGGTCTTCCTTTTTCGCAGGCAACTACATATGAATAGATAGGTGAAGTTGAATGTTTGAACCATTGCACAAGTTCGCATTGCCTCGGTCTTTTTATTTTGCTAATATGAATATTTGGCTAAAGTTAGAGTCTTTGCACCATCACACACGTTAGAGTAGCTAGACCCAGTCCAATGCATTAATTGCAAGCATGAATATAAGAGCGGAGTTAGGGTCTTTAAACCGTTAGATAAGTTAACATTAATTGACTCAAAACCCACTCAATCTTCGTAAGAATGAAACTATCAATCATCCTCATTTTTCAGCTTCCTATAAACGCCAACCACCTTCTTGTTTTCTCATCCCTATGACTTCTCTTCCTTGAGTGTTGAATCCCTTTACTAAGCATGAGAAGATATGAGGTGCTTTTTTTTTTTTTGAGTAGGATGTTATCGCTAATTCAGGGTATCCCAGCGTATCGATCAGACTAATCCCAAGGTGCCTGGCCAAGAATCGAGCCCATGACCCGGTAGGGGAACGCGCCTTGCGCCCCGTTTGCGACTAGTCGAACCCAACCCTTGCAGGCAGATATGAGGTGCTTTTAATTTTCTTTCAACTACTCTTTTTTGAAGCTTCACACCTGTGTTTGTGTCAGAATCACACTGATGTGGGCTGCATAGAAGAAGAGAGGCAGGCTCTTTTGGAGTTCAGATATAGCTTAGTCTCTTACTCAGGCAATGCCTTTTCTTGGGAAGGCAAACAATGCTGCAGATGGGAAGGAGTCAAATGTGATGGCATCACTGGGCATGTGGTCACAATTGATCTCAGCCCAAAAAGCTATCCAATGGCAGAAAAATTAATCAACAACGACGAAGTTACAGATTTTCCCATCCCCTCATTGTCAAGTAAAGCAGTGAGTCCTTCCTTGCTAGAGTTTAAACATTTGAGCAACTTGGATTTAAGCCTCATTGATTTTCAATTTAGTCCTATCCCTTCGTTCCTTGGGTCCATGAAAAAACTACGGTACCTTAATCTTTCCCACTGTTACTTTTCTGGGTCGGTACCCCACCATTTGGGGAACCTCACCAACTTGCAAATTCTCGATCTGAATGAAGTTCAAGGGCCTTTCTCAACTTTACACGTGGATGACTTCATATGGGTGTCTCAACTTTCTTCTCTGCGATATATCAACATGGGAGGAATTTACATTCGGAATGAGATCAATACCATAATGCAGATAATTTTCAATCTCCCGTTCTTATTAGAGGCAGATTTTACTCAATGTCAAATCTTTAGCCTTGGTAGTTATCATGGTTTTGTGAATTCCTCCTCATTGCCATCCAAGGTTCAAGTCTTGAATCTCAGGGGAAATGTTCTTAATGCCATACCTGAGGCTTTGCAAAATATGACATCTCTTAGATCCCTTGACCTTTCGGACAACACTATTGACTTTGTTCCCTTATGGTTAGGAAAGTTCAAGTTTCTAGCACATCTGAATCTAGCCAGGAATACAATTTTGGGCTATTTCCCATGGCTATTCAAAACATGTCATCCCTTACATTCCTTGACATTTCTGACAGCAATCTTGACTCAGTTCCATTATGGCTAGGAGAGTTCAGGTCTCTAACCCACCTGAATCTAGCCAGGAATAAACTTACGGGCTTTTTCCCTGTTGCCATTCTGAATATTTCTTCCGTTAAATTCCTTGACCTTTCCAGCAACAATCTGACATCTGCAGTTCCATTATGGTTCATCAAAAGAGTTCAGCATGTCAATCTGACCAACAATAAATTCTCCACTCTCGAAAGTTCTTGTCCTTGGAATTCCAAAATCAGTTGCAATCTAAAATCGCTGGACTTGGTGCCAGGCAATAAATTTCAAGGAGAAACATTTGGAGGCTCCGAAGATATATCAGTATCCATTAACAGTGATTTACAAGCACTGGATTTAAGTCACAATGAATTGAAAGATCTTGCCGATAGCTTAGGCCATCTTAATAACCTGGTGCACTTGAACTTGGCTTCAAATTTGTTATATGGCCCCATTCCATCATCCCTTAGTAATTTGACGAAATTACGAGAACTAATTCTTGAAGATAATCACTTCGATGGAACAATCTCAGCATTCTTGGGGAGATTTTCTTTCTTAAGGGTGTTAGATCTTTGTGGCAATCACCTAGAAGGTAACATCCCTGATAGTCTTGGAAAGCTTCTGAACCTGGAAATTTTGGATCTGTCAGATAACTCCTTTGAAGGCGCTTTTGGGGAAATTCTCCTTCATAATTTGTCCTATCTCCGGGATTTAAGGCTAGGAATGAACAAGTTATCTATAGAGCTCGCACCCAACTGGTTACGTCCTTTTCAATTGACATGTCTTCAATTGCCATCTTGCAAAATTGAGACACCATTTCCTCAGTGGCTTCAAAACCAAAAGAAGTTAGCCATGTTAGACTTATCAAACACTAGCATTTGGGGACCGCTTCCAACATGGTTTCGACAAAAGGATCTACTTGTGCTTGATCTCTCTAACAACAAAATTAGCGGACAACTCCCACGAAACCTCCATGATATGATGCCAAATTTGATTAGTCTGTTACTTGGTAATAACGTTTTGAATGGTTCAATTCCGAAATCACTGTGTAAATTGCAAGGGCTTCAAGACATAGATCTTTCAAAGAATAGATTATCCAGTGAGATTCCTACCTGTTTGGGTGAAATTGGTGGTATTACATTGATAGATCTATCATCTAATGAGTTATCAGGCACCATTCCTAAATCATTTTGTAGTATTGATGCTTCCTATTCATTGCAATCTCTGAGCCTGAGCAACAATAGATTTCATGGAGAGCTTCCATCAACATTGGGGTCTTGCAATGCCTTGGAGGTTTTGGATCTTGGCAACAACGAACTATATGGCATTATACCGTCAATTATATGGGAAGATTGTAGTGTGCTGAAAATTCTCCGGCTTCGACAAAACAAGTTTAGTGGTAATATCCCTTTGAGCCTATGCCAACTCCCAGTCTTGCAAAGCTTGGACCTTGCACGTAACAACTTAAAAGGAACGATTCCTTTTTGCCTTGGGAATCTAAAAGGAATGATTCAAAATCCGTCATCAGACGAGGGATCAAAGGGATTTCTGGCTCCTGAACCTGCACTTACAGCACCAACTGCTGATTTTGATGGATGGGATAAAGAACATGTCAAGCAAGTCATGAAAGGAAGAGAACTAGAATTTACAAAAAATTTGAAGTTTGTAGTCAATTTGGACTTATCAAACAATTCACTGAGTGGCTCTGTACCTGAAGTTCTAACTTCTCTCATTCAATTGGTTAGTTTAAATTTATCGCACAACCATTTGTCAGGAGAAATCCCTAGCAAAATAGGGAAACTGAGGCAGCTAGAATCATTGGACCTCTCTTGGAACCAACTTGCAGGTCCATTTCCAAGTAGCATGCCGTCTTTGACTTCATTGAACCACCTGAATATGTCACACAACAACTTTTCAGGGCCTATTCCCGAGGGAAACCAATTCTTCACTCTTGAGGATCCATCCATTTATGCTGGAAATCAATATCTCTGTGGAGAACCTGTGCTCAAAAAATGCTCTGACAATAACACAGATGAAGCTCCGAGAAGTGCCCATTTTGAAGACAAGAATGAGAAAGAAAAAATTCTGTTTTACTTTGTTGTAGCCCTTGGTTTCATGACAGGGTTCTGGGGAATTATTGGACTCCTTGTGTTGAACAAGAGTTTAAGGTATGTTTGCTTTAGATATATGGAGAAAATAGCAGATGAAATATATGTAGCAGTAGCAATAAGGGCAGCAAGGCTCAAGAGAATGGGATTGAAACTTTGGTGATGAGAGATTTTGTGTTTAGTGTTATGTTTTTGAGCTGTTGTATTCTTGTTTGGGATGGGATGTTTCTCTTCCAACCCCTTTTTATGCTGCTAAGTCTTTCCTTTATTGTGGAAATGGATATTTGTAAGCAAGTTATTGGGTAAAATTTGTCGGCTGTTATGGTTTATACTGTCTAGGGGAAAAAAACTGATGAATGATCTTAGCATATTATGTGTATTTAAGACCTCTTGTAAATTCTTGCATGCATGTTCTAATGGCTGTGTGACTGCAGTTTGGACTATTTCTTGTGAAAGTTAATTGATGCTCCTCTAACACTTAATATAGGATCTAATTAGAAAGTTGATGTTGGTTTTATATGTAAGACTTATTTCACATTTTTATTAATTTTTTCCTAAGTTTACCCTATTAATATTCTCCCAACAATAATCAAGTACGAGATGGAGGGAGAGAATTAATGAAGACGCTTAGGATATTTTAGAAATGAGATATCATACATATTAATTTAACTAACATCTTTCATCTATCTAAATTAATTAATTAGATCTTATATCAAGGATCAGAAGAATATTATAATTTAATTTGAACCTTGTGGAAGTATATACATATCTATAAATAACTTACTTAACTATATAGCTATGTTTTATATATGGAGAGCAAAGACAAAGAAGTATCCCGTGAATTCTACTAACTCTAATTCTTAATATAAGAGCTAGTTAACTTATTTGACTAAATTAAAAAAGTTTGTTAAGTTAGTTATTTGTCATAAATAGGTATTATCTTCCTTAGAATATCCTTGCTAATCATGTGTATTAATTAAAACTATCATTTGATGAAACATTTAATATGTATAACTATTACAAAAATTATTTTTTTATAAAAAAGAATAAATATGAGAGACAAAATATATTAGAGTTTTGTATTTAGAACCAAATTGAATGTCAAGATAGTTTTTATATTAAGGATCGAAGGTAGTGTGTATGTGTGTATATATGCAACTTGTTTGGCAAAGTGTTTGAAGGGGGTAAAAGTAGCTTATAGGTGTGATAAGTCAATTTGTAAATTTGAAAGCTATTTGTCACAGCTAAAAGTATCTAAAACTTACTTATGACTTATGCAAAAGTAATTTTTTAGAATTAAAAGATATTTTTGTCCTTATGTTGTTCTTATGCTTCTCTCTATATATTCTAGTTATTTATTTTTAATATTCTTTTAAGTGAAAATAATTTTAATAGTTTTTATAAATTTTTTAATTTTTAATATTATTTTTATTTTATATTTACATAAATTATGTAGAATATATCATCCAATTAATTAGGTAATATTATTTGGTTCAAAAATTTTCACATTACTATAATTTATAATTTAAATATATATTTTTCATTAAATATAACTTTTTCCTATTATAATCATTTAAAATTATTATATTTTGTAAATTCATACTTTTAATCATTTTTCATTATTTAATAAAAGTCATACCCATTTTGGTTATTCTACAAACTAAATTTATTTATTTAATCATAATCTAAATAATTTTGTTACTTTACAAACTAACATTTACAAAAGTCAATTTAAACATAAATCATATTATCCAATATAACTTTTATCGAATATAACTTATTTAAAAATCAAATTAAAAATAAATTATTTTTTCTACCGTTAATCCAAACAAATGATTATCTATTTTGGAAATGTTGTTGGTTTGTGCGGATTTTGATATTGTCCCTTTTAAATTGTTTATGTGGCAACATGTTTTTGTGCAAATTAGAAGGGAGAACAAGCTAGCTTAAAGAGTGACTTTTGCTTGTCTTGTTATTTTGTTATTTGGCCAATTAGAAATTATTTGATTTTTCTCCATTCGTTATAGATAATTCAAAAGTTTAGAACCATCTTTTGATATGAGGATTGTTAAAAGATTTGACATATGTTTAATTACTTCTCTAATTAGTCATTTTCATTTTTTCTTTTTTTGTGATGCACACAAATTGTGAATAATGCAAGTGCATGTGTCGATCAAATAATAAAAAAATAAGTATAAAGTATCGTTTTCACAAAGAATCAGATAAAATAGTGTTTAGGCATTAAAATTTCTATGTTTAATTAAGTTAAGTAAGCTGAATTATGAATGATCAGACTAAAAAGAATAAAGACAAAAAAAATTCAATATTAAAGGCAACCTAGAGTCACTAATCCCTTACTAGTTTCATAGACTAATGCTTTTATTTAACTAATTAGTCTCAATGTTAATTTAAGTAATCTAGAGTGTTTACAGCTAAAAGTGTCTTTTGAACCACTCATAACCCTTTCCTAAGTAATAAGGTTATGTATAATTCAAACACTTAAGAGGATAAATTAATTTCACTTTTCATTAATTATATAGGACCCCTAGGTATATATTTCTATCCTACTCACAAGTTAGATAAAAATCTAATCCCATATTACTCAATCCTAGAACCTAATTAAGATTTCCTTCGTCAAGACTAACTTCAATATTTAAACTCATATTTAATGATGGCTAAACATTAAATAGATAAATCAAAACAGGATTAAGTAACCGAAATTAACATTAAGCATAATTAATTAAATGAAAATAAAATCTAATCCATAAGTAAGTTCATAGCTACTCTAGATTAAAAAAAAAAATTAGCCACACATGGCTAAAATAAAATCCATAACATAAAAATAAAATTCTAAACCGAAAAGAACTAGAAAGAGAACAGATTCGTTGACACTCCCCGCTGCTATTTCTGGAACCGATTTCTCGGCCTCTAACTGTCGCAGCTCCAAGAGAGAAAGAACCTCACTGCTGTCGCATAAAGGTTCAGAAGTTAAAAGATCCACGCTGCTTCTACTCTCTGCTTCTTCTGTGTCTTCAGCTCTCGCTGCCGCCAATACGAGATGATTCCTTCGCTGCTATCCCCAGTTCCTATTTATAATCGTTGTGCGCCCTCTCTCCAATGAATCTACCGACTCTTCTCCACATCCAAATATCTCCAATATAATATACTACCTACTGTCCTAATTATAAGTCCCAGTTGATTTATTTGAAGAGATTAAGAAAATAAGTTAAATTAGTTATTTGTAATAAATAAATATTGTTATTCCTAAAATATCCTTACTAATTAAATGTATTAGCTAGAACTATCATTATTAGAAGGACTATTTTGGACAAAAATGCATAAATATGAGAGACAAAATAGATTTGGGTCTTATTATTAGGACCAAACAAAAAGTCAAACTGAGTCTTATATTAAAGACCGGAGGTAGTATTATATTATCTTATGCTGATTTGCCTTGCGTTCTCACGATTCCTTTAACTTCTTCCTCAAGGTCAATATAATATATTGCTCTTTCAGTTTTTAATATAAGACTCATTTAACTAATTTGATTAGATTAAGGAAGTTAGGTAAATTAGTTAATTATAAGAAATGTGACACGTTTTTCCTAAAATACTATAATCATCTTTTTTAATACCCCTCTTCTTCTTCTACTTGATTATGGTTGAAGAAACATTCATAGGGGTAATTTAGAGAAAATTGATAAATATGAAAAATAGATCTTATATTTAGAATTAAAACCAACTCAATAATTAAGTCTTATATTAAGAACCAGAAGAATATATTGTATTACAATTGACTCATTCCTTGATTCTTCACCGGGGACCCACAGTTGCTTTTTATCTCCACTCTTCACTCATCTTCATAATATATATATATATATATATATATATATAGATTGTTTCCTAGCTTTCCCTTCATGATTAAAATACTTTCTGCAAAATAAATAATAATTTGAGTAGATTTTACACAAAGATTCATTTTTATCCCATATCTAACTGAAGAGGAGAAAATATATCAAAATTTAATTAAATAGGTATAAGATATAAAGATATTCACAAATTTGACTGCATGTATTTTAATATCTAACCTATTTAATTATAAAATATATACTTATCATTTTGGTTACAAGTCTTTTGCTTTTTGTTAATGCTTGTTTATTTTTCTTTTTTCTTTTTTATGGAGCAATGCCCCTTTTTAGGTGAATTGGTTTTGGAGCTAATGCAACCAGAAGGAACTATGCTGGAGAAGTAACAGGTGGTCAGTACCTTCAACTGCACCATGAAAGGTGCAAAGCATAAATCTACTATTGATTTAGCTTCAACCCTTTTAGGGATTTTAACTTTTGGTAAGTAACAAAAGTTTTCGGATTTTATATTATGTATGGATGACTTTTAAAATCAAAGGTAGCATTTTATTTATATTTTTTTAATATCATCCATCGCCTATAGTTTTTGTCTAAATGGTAAATACACACACCGGCTAACAAAAAGAATTTTATCCCGTCTTAGGTAGAAGGATTTATTTTAATCCTAAATTTAAGACATTAATTTTGTATTCTGAATTTCTAATTTTTTTAAACCCTCTCTATTTAATCACATATATTAAGGATATTTTCAATGAAAATAATATTTTTCAATACAAATAATTTAATTAAAAGTGATCATTAGGAAAAACTAATGCACATTTATTTATAAATACCTAATTTAATTAATTTTCTAAGTGTTAAAAAATTATTACCTTCAGTCTTTAATATAATAATTAGACAACTAATTTGTATATATTAAGAAAACTTGCTAAATTAATTATTTGTGCTATATGATTTTTCTAAAATATTATTTTTAATTAATTATATATATTAGAACTACCATTGATGAAAACCCTCTTAAAATGTATAATCAACAAGAATATTCAGGGGAAATAATTATAACTTTAGAAGATAAAATGAATTGATGTATTATATTTACCACAATAAATCGTTTATCTAAATAGTAAATTGTTTCTCTAACTCCTATATTTAAGACAAAAAGGAATAGTAGTTTCATATGTTTAAGATCTGCATGGCAACAAATATACGAATATTATTATGGAAAACAAATCTAGAAGACGTCAGGAGTCGCCAGAACAAACAACAGATGTCAAAAAGAAGAACAAGAAGAAGAAGAAGAAGAAGAAGAATTATGGGTGACTTTTGTTCCGAAAGTTGTCGTAAAAAGGTTGTGGGTATCCAGACTCTTTTTTTTTTTTTTTTTTGCTTAATGTTGTCGTGAGCGTGTTAAAAAAGAGCAATGTCACTTACTCCAACAGTAAACAAATAGAAGTTCGTAACATCAAACCTTGTGTCACATATAATTCGAATCGGGCTTCCATGCTTTCTTGTTTGGTTATTTTTGTCCCAGAAGTTTCAATGAAAGAGAAATGAGTATTTGAAAAAATTTTCCCTTGGATACAGATATCCTCATATCAAGAACAATTATATTTAAAGTAACACTAAATGGGAGCACTTCTTTAGGGGGGGAAAAAAAATAAATGTTAGTTGACCATGTTAGCAAACTCTCAATTGTTATGGGTGTGTCTCTGAAACCACACAACTTTGCATAATTGACTCAGTCTTCTATATGAGAAGTATCAATAATTAATTATTTAAGTATATGTTTGGAGGTGGATCCAAACCATTAATGCATAAACTAACTTTGTAAAATTTGAATTTCCATCTTAATTTTTAAATTATCAATATGCAATAACATGTAAAGATGCATTAAAATTAGGGATTTTATATATGTTTATTAAAATGTTTAGAATTCCTATATCAAATGTATGGCTTAATTTCATGTCCTCAAAAAATTTTGCATCATTATACGCAATTTTTATGAAGTAATTTTTTATATCAAATTATGTTTTTAAATACTAACATTCCCCGCCCATCACCCCCTTTAAAAAAACAAAAAAAACGACTGCATTAGTTGACTAGTGAATAGAACTAGGAAAATGGACTGAGCACATTGAGCCGGTCTATTAGTATTTAGGCCTTAAAATTGTGAGGGTTAGGTTTAAAAATTTTTTCTTTAAATGAAAAACAGGTTTAAAAGGACTGGTCCTGTGGGACCGAAGGACTACCTACCTTGCAGGGTCGAGGGTCGACCTGTTTAGGCCCTTTTTTTATTTTTTTAAATTTTTTATATAATTCTCATATTATTATTTTTTTACATTATTAATAATATTTCAAATACTTAGTTATTATTATTACTTTGAAATTAAATTTCACATAATAGTTTAATTTATTTGGTTTTAGACAATTATTTGTCCAATTAAATTTTAAAAAATAGGTCAATTTGGATTTTAATAATGATTTGATTTATATTATATGTGTTGATATTTTTAAAACTATATATATTTGATAAGAGAGTATTTTTATACTTATATAACTTGTGATGTTATTCTATATTTTAAATTAAAAATTTATGAGTTTCAATAATAATGCTTCTGAAACTACAATAAAATACTCCTTCCGTTCCTTATTATAAGAGACAAATAACCAAATTACGTTGATAAAAAAAACAGTTAAAATTAGTTGAGGACAATTAATGTGTAAAAAGTATAATGTTTTTTCCAACAATGCCCCTATTAATAAGGAGAGAGAGTATGAGAGAGAACAATTAAATTATTAAAAGAAAGAGAAGTGGGAGGGAGAGAGAATATGAGTTGGAGACAAAATAAATAGGGGTAAAATAGGAAATCAATACAAAAAACTAGAGACAACTTTTAAGTGTCTCTTATATATGGGAACATGCTGTAAGTATCAAATGTCTCTTATAATAAGGAACGGAGGGAGTAATAGCTAAACTGTGATATTTAAAAGTGAAATTCCTATAAAGAAAAAAAAACTTGATATTTTTGCTATGGAAAAAAAAACATTTGATTATAGTGATGATAAAGTTTCAAAAAATTAATTATAGTGTTTCCCATTACATATTTGTACTATTGATAAAAATTTTAGATGTTGTTGTTTTATTGATAAATGTTTTAGATGTTCTTAGATATTGATGGATATTTAGATATCATAATATTTTGTATTTATAACTTAATTTTATTTATAGTTATGTCTTTTATTAATTATTTCATTGGTTTGTTTTTATTTTTTTGATAAAAAATATGAGATATATAAAAAATAATTTTTTTAAATGGGCCAAAAACCTACAGGCCAACCCAAGCCTGCAGACCAACTCAAGCCCATCAGCTTACAGGCTGAGCTTAGTAAATTGGGATATTTTTAAAATTTAGACCCTGTAGGACTGGCTTTTTTAAGCCCGCCAGCCTTGCAGGGCTGGTTCGGCCTGAATTGCCAGCTCTACTGGTGAAACCAAAGCCCCATACAAGGGGTCTTTGTGAGTGGAGCATGTGGGTTGATCACCACCACCTAGATTTATTGGTATGATAATAAATAGTTTGATTCTCATTAAAATATTTACTAAAATTTGTTCCCTTGTAACCTAGCAGCATACATGGGTTTGATTAATTTTATATAACAAGTAATCTCTTATATTAAATACTCTTTTAATAGATTTTCTCAATTCCAATCTCTATCCCTAATTATTAATACTTCTTACCAAACAGTGCCTAAGAGAAATCAACTTTCTGGGACTGTGCTGAAGGCCTGGCAAAACATGTCTTCTCTTAGATTCCTTGACATTTCTTACAACATGATTGATTCTATTCCATTCTGGCTAGGAGAGTTCAGGTTTCTAACCAGTGTGAATCTAGCCCGGAGTACACTTTCTGGTTTATTCCCCATTGCAATTCAAAACATGTCTTCCCTTAGATTTCTTGACCTTTCTGACAATAGCCTTACTTCTGCAGTTCCACTGTGGTTGATCAAAATAATTCACCATGTTAGTCTTACCCACTGTAAATTCTCTAATCTCCAAACCTCTCATAATTCCCATAAAAGATTGTGATGACAAATTTCGAGGAGAAACATTTGAAAGCTTCAAAAATATAGATGTATGCAGTAAAAATGATTTACATGTAGTAGATTTAAGTCACAGTGAGTTGAAAGATCATATAGAAAGCTTGGGCCAACTTACGAATTTGATTTACTTGAGTCTGTCTTCAAATTTGATCAACGGTCCCATCCCATTATTCTTTGGAAAATTGTCAAAATTAAGAGTACTAACTGTTGAAGATAATCAATTCAATGGGACAATACCACCATCTTTGGGGAGACTATCTTACTTGAAGGTATTGGATCTTTCAGGCAATCGCTTGAATGCTTTCGTACCTGATAGTCTCTGGAAGCTTATGAGCTTGAGAACTTTGGATCTTTCAAATAACTCCTCGGAAGGCACGCCCAGGGAAATTCACCTTCGTAACTAGTCCAATCTCCAGGATTTAAGGATTGGAATGAACAAGGTTTCTGTCAATTGGCTACCTCCTTTTCAATTGCAATCTTGCAAAATTGAGACGCCACTTCCTCAATGGCTTCGAGCCCAAAAGAAGTTAGTCAATTTAGACTTGTCAGATACTGACATTTGGGGACCCTTCCCAAAATGGTTTCAACAAAAGGATCTCAGTGTGCTGGATCTCTCCAACAACAAAAATTAGCGGGAAACTCCCTCGAAATCTGCATGATATGATGCCAAATTTGAGTAGCTTGTTTCCTGGTGATAACCGACTGACTGGTTCCATTCCAAAATCACTATGTAGATTAGAGGCGCTTCCCGATTTAGATCTTTCAAAAAATGAATTATCTAGAAGGATTCCAAGTTGTTTGGGTGAAATTAACTGGATTGTACTGATAGATCTATCATCAAATGGATTAGCAAGCACCATTCCAGAATCATTTTGTGGTGTTGATTCCATTTTACAATCTCTGAACTTGAGCAACAATAGTCTCCATAGAGAGATTCCATTGAACCTCTTTTGTTATTTCAACTACTTGGAGATTTTGGACCTTGGCAACAATCAACTATGTGGTGTTATACCTTCAAGTATAGGAGATTACTTGTTGTCATTGCGAATTCTCAGGCTTCGGAATTCTTAGGCTTTGAGCCCATGCCAACTCTCAGTCTTGCAAAGCTTGAACCTCGCAAGTAACAACTTAATAGGAACAATTCCTTGTTGCCTTGGGAATCTTGAAGGAATGTCTCTAGATCTGTCATCAGAAATGGTTCCAATGGAATTTCTGGCTCCTGGGCCTGTAAATGGTCATTTAACTGTGGCAGCATTAGTTCCTGATTTTGATCAATGGGATAAAGAACATGTCAAGCAAGTCATGAAGGGAAGAGAATTTGATTTCACAAAAAATCTGAAGTTTGTAGTCATTTTGGACTTGTCAAACAATTCATTAGTTGGCTTCGTACCTAAGGGTCTAGCTTCTCTCTTTGGTTAGTTTGAATTTATCACACAACATTTTGTCGCGAGAAATCCCTAGCAGAATAGGGAAATTGAAGCTGCTGGAATCATTGGACGTCTCTTGGAACCAACTTGCAGGCCCACTTCATAGGGGCATGTCTTCTTTGACTTCATTGAGCCACTTGAATTTGTCATATAGCAACTTTTCAGGGTCCATTCCTGAAGGAAACCAGTTCTTCGCTCTTGAGGATTCATCCATTTATTAGCGGAAACCAATATCTCTGTGGATAGCCTGTGCTCAAAAAATGCTCTGACAATAACACGAATGAAACTCCAACAAGCGTCCACCATGAAAACAAGAACGAGAAAGAAAAGATTCTTTTTTTATTTTGTGGCAGCCGTTGGTTTCATCACAGAGTTCTGGGGAATTATTGCACTCCTGGTGTTCAACAAGAGTTGAAGGTATGTTTGATTTAGATATATGGAGAAAATAGCAGATGAACTATACGTCGCAGTTGCAATAAAGGTAGCAAGGTACAAAAGAACAGGGTAGAAACCATAATGGCAAGTTTTGAGTTTATTGTATTATCAGACTGTCGTTCACTTCAAATATAATGATCAATAATCTTATCTTTGTGCATTCAAGATTTCTTGCATATTCTTACACATTAAATTATGGCATCACAAGAAGTGAAATTGCTTTAAGTCACATACGGCATATTTGGAATCATAATCATAAGCACTAATAGGCACATATGACGTAAATTGAGATAAAATTTTTCTTACATACTTATCTTGTATTCTATAGGTTATAATTGAAAAAAATACTTATAAGCAATTCCAACCAAGCCTTAATGTGCTGCTTCATCATGTTATTGAACACTTCCAAACAAAAATGAAGGAAAAGAGAAAATTTGGATGCATTAGTGGCCGGCGACTGCTATGTTAAGGTGGAGGTTTTAAAATTTTAATAACCCTAATTTGTTAGCCCATTTTAGGTCCAAACTTTTTTTCTTTTTTTTTTAAAAAATAATTCAGTTATGTGGACTGGTCTTAAACCCGATGGACCAAACCCAGTCTGGTCCAATTTCGAGCTAAGCTCAGGTTGGACCAGACCACGGGCAGCTTTTTCCAACCCGAGCATGTTTCCAGACCAAACCAAGGGTTAGGCACTAACCCGATCTGGTCTGGTCAGTGTGCAGCCCTACATAACCATATTACACATTTTTATTCGAATTTAGAGGCCCAAAGAATAAGGATGTGCATGGACCAAACTGGACCGGGTTTGTTATCAACCTGAAGTCTGGTCCAGTAAAGACCTCAGGCTAAAAAAGACAGCCCGAAGTCTGGTCTAGTCCAGTATCAACCCGAGATCTGATTAAACTGGACTTGGTCAGGATCTAAATTTAATTTTTTCTAAAAAAAATTTTCTTTAATAGGAGACAAGATTGTAACTTACTATATAAAATTTTGCACATATTTTAATCCAAAGTTCATCAAATTTGATCATTTCCTTTCAATTTCCCAATAATGTCATGTTTTATTAATTAATCCTCATTAATATAAATCTTGTATTGTAGAAAATATATACTCATGCCCATTACTTAGGAAGTTAATAGATAAATCTTGATTATTTGAATAGACAAAAAATTTAAATAGAAAAATTAAATCAAATTAAAATTATATAAATAATAATTAAAAATTAAAAAAACTGGGCTAGACTAGACTGGACCAACTGGTTTGAAGAGCCAGTCCCTAGTCCAATCCAGCCCGATATACCAGTCCTGTCCAGTTTGGTCTAGTCTTGTTTCGGGCCAATTTTTTCTAGATCGGGTTTGCTCGGGTTGGACTGGACCATGCCGAACCATTGGGTTTTTGCATAGCCCTACCAAAGAATAAATAACTTGCCCTCCCACAGCTTCATCATCCATTTCTACAAATTCAATAATTGATTTGGATGCTCTCATACACTAGCAAGTATTGTTACCGAAAGCTTATAGCTTATCAATAAGAGTTGGATCTAGAAAGAAGGGCTAGTCTCTCACATTATAGTGAACCAAGTTTTGAATCCCCGTTTGAAGGGGTGCCCACGTTTAGTGTTTGACAGTACATCAAACAAGATTGTCTCTAATAGAAGAATATGTGTGTTTGACCCAAAAAAAGAACAAAAAAAAAAAACTCATCTTGCAATAAAAGGATATCTGTGCCGAACTAAAAAAAAAAAAGGTCATATCTTATATGCACCCCACCATTTTTGGCCAACACTTGAAGACGCTATCAAATCAGGATAAATGTGAAATAAAATAAGAACAACCTTTTATTGTTCAGATTTGAAGAAAAACGCAATGGTTAAAAAGAGGATGCAAATTGGACTTCAGATGATACTGAGATTGCCACTAGGGCTCTTGCTTGTATTCAGTCCGTTTACCACGATAACAACTCAATATCAGATAGCCAAATCCTTGCTGGGCTCACGGACATTCCCACTCCTTCGGCCTCGAGCTCATATTCGGAGGCTCTTCTTCGTTCAATTACTTAGGCTGAGATTAAAGAAGCTGTCTTCAGTCTTCCTCAAAATAGTGCTCCAGGCCAAGATCGTTTCAATGCTCTTTATTTCACACCTATTGGGATATCATCAGTACTGATATTGTGGATTTTGTGGGTCACTCCTGGAACTCTAAGACTTTCCTTTCTAAGCTTTAACAACTCAGATCATACTAATCCCAGAAACGGAGAAACCACAATCCTTTAAGGATTTTAGGCCTATAAGGCTTTGCGATGTAATTTACAAAATCTTCTCCATAGTGCTCAGCAATAGGCTTAAAGGAACTTCGGAGAAACTTATAGCTGCTTTCCTTAAAGGCCGCCTCATTTCGGATAATATACTCTTAGCAGCTGAATTAATGTCTCATATTCATGGGTCTCGATCAGAAAGAAGAAAGATAGCAGCGATTAAGGCAGACTTTTCTAAAACTTTTGATAAACTGTCTTGGAATTTTGTTGAGGCTGTCATTAGGAAAATGAATTTTCCAGAAAAAGTTATCAGAATTGTCATCAATTGTGTATCCACTATTTCTTATCAAGTTCAAATAAATGGAAAGCTCACCCCGGTTATTGTATCAGATAGAGGGATTAGACGAGGAGATCCCCTTTCTCCTTGCACCTATATTCTCTGGGCTAACATTCTCTTGTATGATCTCTAAGGTTCACAACTTTGGACATTAGAGGAGAATCAAAATTTTTCAGCTAGCTCAACCAATGTCCCATCTTCTATATGTTGATGACTTTTTCTTAGAATGTAATTCCTTGAATTTTCGTTCTGTCAAAATCATGTTGAGTATGTTTGGACTTTGGTTTGGTAGGAATGCAACAAGGGTAAATCCTTTATTCTTTTTAGTCCTAACATCTCTCATGCAGATAAGATGAAGTTATCTAAATTCTTGGGCTTCCATTTTCACTCTCGGCTTGGCAAATATTTGGGTATATGGATAGATCCAGGAAGAAATAAATCTCCTATATATCAGTAGGTGTTGAACTCGGTGGAAAGGAGAATCAGTGCTTGGCAATCTGAACTTCTATCATAAGCATCTCGATTAAATTTGATTAAATCGGTATTGGATTTGATGAACATAAATATCCTTTCTTGCGTCAAAATTCCTCATTCAATAGGTGACAAAATAGATGCATTATGTGCCAATTTTTTCTGGGGTTCTGTTGATACCAAGAAAAGGATGCATCTTTTGGCTAGGAATAAACTTTTCCGGCCAGTGGATAAGGGTGCTTTGGAATTAAAACGAGCTAAGATTGTGAATGGAGCCCTTCTTGTTAAGCAAATTTGGCTTCCCAAGATTCTTCTTTGCTGGCCACAACCTTAAAAGTCAAATACATTAATTTAGATAGTCAGTCAATTATTAAACTTCCATATAGCTCATCCTGAATGTGGAAGGGCGTTGCAAAATATGCTGCTATTATAGTTGGGAAATTGAAATGGAAAAGGCAATGGGACGAGCATCCCAATTAACCACAACCTTTGGTGGCCTATGCAGTAGGATCTGATGCGACATTTTAAAATTAACGTTGTATCAGATATGTTATTGCATGCTGCTTCTTTGTGGAATCCAGTTTCATGGAACTCCTCCCTCATTTACGGGATTTATTCAACGGATACAGCTCGTTCTATCGTTGCTCAGCCTATTTTCCTCCAAAATCTTCCTGGTCAAATTATCTGGTTTGACAATAATAAGGGTATCTACCAAGTTCGAGATGGAACTTATTTACTTTGGCACGATGATTCTCACAATCTGGCTCCAACTGCTGATGATTGCTGGCTACTACTTTGGAAGTTGAAAATTCCTCTCAAACAATTGCTATTCATTTAGAAATTACTGCATAAGGCCTTGTCCTTACCTTCTGTTGATATTCTAAGGCAGCACCATCTTGACATTTTCGGTCTTTGTCTATTTGGCTGTGAAGAAGAAGAGAATCTCTTACATCTTTTTCTTAATTGCCTTTCTACTCTGACTCTTTGCTTTGGAAGTTTATCTATCAGAATTTCTTTCAATTCTTTCGAGCAATTTGCTTCTTGGCTAAAAATTACCTTGGTACAATTGTGTCGGGATCAATTGCAGGGTGTTGCTTACCAAATTATATGTTTGCTCAATGTATCTGGAAGACTCGAAATGGTATTCTTCACCAAGGCAAAATGGTCTCACTCTTCTTAGTGCTCATGACTTCAAACAAATTTGTTCCCTTTCGAGGTTAGCTTTTCTGAATTACCTCATCACTCCTAATCATCCTCAAAATAAAATTCAAATTCTTGAAGATATTCACTTGCATCGTAATGTTTGGAACGTTATTCTCTTCAAATACAGAAGACTCCAACATTATTTTTTGCCATGGAATGATTTATCATCAGGCTCCATGTTTGAAAGAATTTATTTGGAGAAGCGCTACGTTAACAGGCCCAGTTTTTCATTCCAAATGTCTTAGAGCCTCACTATACTAGGTAGTCTCTTCTAGTCTATTGGACGAAACTACCAAAATTTCATTATCTATGCGCTGTGTGTAGAAACAATTCATTGAACTCTCAAGGACAACTCTTTTTTCTTCTTCTATTACCTAGTAGGAGATTCTTACGCTTCTCTGTAATTTCAGTTCTTATGATGTTAATGTCATTTCTGAATATTCGTTTTTTAGGCTTAATCATTGTAATCTAGGATATCTTAGTTACTATACTTTGTAAGCTTTTATTATTAATTTTATCATTTTGTCGTGTTCTCCAAAAAAACAAAAAAAACGGCAATGGTTCCGCAAGATGCAGTTTCCTCCTACTCTATTAAGCATGTGATGTGTGTTATGATTGCAGAAAAGAAAACTTGTTCACAAATTTGGAATATACTTTCTTGATTTGTTCTTTTCTAATAGACACAATCATGAACGACTCTACACAGCAATAAACAACTCTACATAGCAATAAACAACTTTCTCAATCTAACCATCCGTGAAAGACTCAGATGATTATGGTTTGGCCCCAGAAGAGAGTATGAAAAACAATTTGCAGAGAACGATTTCCGGATTTTCTTAGGTAACATCGATGAAGGGGTAGCCATCGCTGACGCTAGAGGAAGTCCCCGTTGAGAGAGAAGGACGTGGGAGAAAGCGGGATTCTGAATAAGAAGGAAAGGGGCTAGTAAACATTAGGGGCAAATTGGTCATTTATCAATATTCAGAAATTTCTAATCAAGTCTCTTAACCTGATTAGCAATATATTAAAAGATGTCAATTTGAATCTAGCTTTTAGTATGTCGGTCAGATTTAACTGAAATTTTCCCCTCTTTTTTGCCAACTAGATTTTCCTCTTTATAAACTAGATAAACTTATAGTATATTATATATGTGTGTGTAATGTTATAAATATAAATCAATCCCGCCTTGTATAAGGTATCCATCAACTAGAAAATATTCTTAGTCCTTTTTATAAGGTATTTGCTTAGTTTTAGGGAGCATTAATATTTTTTCTATGTGCGCTTATATTTAACAAGGGTAGTAGGAGAGAATAAAAGTTAATATAATGTTAGAGTTTAGTTTACTTAATAAGAATAATATTAGAAATCACTTGAATTTTTAGTGTAGTTAATAAGAATAATATTAGAATTTACTTGAATTTTATGACAAAAAATGATGCTTTGAACTATTTTTATTGGTATATGTGAATTAATTAAAAATTACTTGTAATAGGCTACAGAAAGGGCAGTGATTATAGTCGTAGTCACAAGGCGGCACTGACTTTGGTTACATGCAATCTTTTTCTCGGAAATTCCTCGATGCGGAAACTTCCTCACGCATCCTTCAGTCTTCCTTCTACGCAAGTAAGTATATACGAATAGACGGCTGAGGTTGAGTGTTTGACCCATTGCTAAAAGTTAGCGTTGACTCAGTCTTCTTATATTGCTACTATGAATAGTAGTGTGTGACTAAATTTGAGTCTGTTCCATCACACGATATATACACACATATATTCTAAGTATGAATTCATCAATCATCCCCATTTTCCAGTCTCCTAGAAACACCAACTATCTTGTTTTCTCATCCCTATAATCTTGTTCGAGCGTTGAATCCCTTTAGCAAGCATGAGAAGATCTCTAAGTGATGGCCTTGAGGTGATTTTAATTTGCTTTGTACTGTTTTTTGAAGCTTCACAACTCTGTTTGTGTCAGAATCTGACTGATGAAGGCTGCATAGAAGAAGAGAGGCAGGCTCTTTTGAACTTCAGAGACAGCTTTGAGAATTGCTCAAGGCATGTCCTGGCTTGGGAGGGCAAACAATGCTGCAGATGGAAAGGAGTCAAATGTGATGGCATCACTGGACATGTGGTCAAGATTGATCTCAGCCCAAAAGTCTATTCAGTGTATGAGCTCAGAAATCTTCCAAACTGCACAGTTTATGGTTCATTCATTATTAACTACTCGTTGTCAAGTAAAGCAATGATCTCATCCTTGCTAGACTTGAAACATTTGAACTACTTGGATTTAAGCTTCATTGATTTTCAATATAGTCCAATCCCATTGTTCCTTGGGTCCATGAAACAATTGCAGTACCTTAACCTTTCCAATTGTAACTTTATTGGGAGGGTACCTCATCATCTAGGAAACCTTACAAACCTGCAGATTCTTGATGTCAGCTCAGGCGATCATTTTTTCATTATTAATGGCACATGTTTTCAATGTCTATTTGTTGATGACTTCGCTTGGGTCTCTCGGCTTTCTTCTCTACAATTCATTGACATGAGTGGAGTTTACATCATGGACGGCATCAATTCCATGATGCAGGTAATTTCCAATCTCCCCTTGTTAGACGCACACTTTATGCACTGTGGAATTGACAGCTTGAGTTTTTCTCATGGTTCTATGAATTTCTCCACACCTCCTTCCAAGGTTCAAGTCTTGAATCTTCGGGGAAATAAACTTTCTGGGAGTGTGTCAAAGGCTTTGCAAAACTTGTCTTCCCTTGAATTCCTTGACGTTTCTGACAACATGATTGACGCTATTCCATTTTGGCTAGGAGAGTTCAGGTTTCTAAGCAGCATGAATCTAGCCCGGAATATACTTTCTGGTTTATTCCCCACTGCAGTTCAGAACATGTCTTCCCTTAGATTCCTTGACCTTTCTGACAACATGATTGACTCTATTCCGTTATGGCTAGGAGAGTTCAGGTCTCTAACTAGTATGAATCTAGGCCGGAATAGACTTTCTGGTTTATTCCCCATGGTAATTCAGAACATGTCTTCCCTTAGATTCCTTGACCTTTCAGACAATAGTCTAACTTCTGCAGTTCCACTGTGGTTGATCAAGAGAATTCATCATGTCAATCTTACCCACAATAAATTCTCTAATCTCCAAAGTTCTCATTATTCCGTGAAAGATTGTGATTTGACATCACTATACTTGCCAGATGACAAATTTCAAGGAGAAACAGTTGAAAGCTTCAAAAATATAGATATATGCAGTAAAAGTGATTTGCAAGTACTAGACTTGAGTCACAATGAGTTGAAAGATGGTATAGAAAGCTTGTGCCAACTTGAGAATTTGATTTACCTGAGCCTATCTTCAAATTTGATCTCCGGTCCCATCCCATTGTCCTTTGGAAATTTGTCAAAATTAAGAGTACTGATTCTTGAAAATAATCAATTCAATGGAACAATACCATCATCCTTGGGGACACTGTCTTATTTGACGGTATTTAATATTTCAGGCAATTGCTTGAATGGTTTCAAACCTGATAGTTTCTGGAAGCTTATGAGCTTGAAAACTTTGGATCTTTCAAATAACTCCATGGAAGGCACACTCACGGAAATTCACCTTCGCAACTTGTCCAGTCTCCTAGATTTAAGGATTGGAATGAACAAGTTATCTGTAAAGCTTGCACCCAATTGGCTACCTCCATTTCAATTGGCAAATCTTCAATTGCGATCTTGCAAAATTGAGGCACCGTTTCCTCAATGGCTTCGAACCCAAAGGAAGTTAGTCAATTTAGACTTGTCTGATACTGGCATTTGGGGACCCTTGCCAGAATGGTTTCAACAAAAGGATCTCAGAGTGTTTGATCTCTCCAAGAACAAAATTAGCGGACCACTTCCGAGGAATCTCCATGACAAGATACCAAATTTGAGAAGTTTGGTTTTTGGTCATAACCTGCTGAACGGTTCCATTCCAAAATCTGTGTGTAAATTGGAGGGCCTTTACGAATTAGATCTTTCAAACAATAAATTATCTGGAAGGATTCCAAACTGTTTGGGTGATATTAATTGGGTCTCACTAATAGATCTATCATCGAATGACTTAGAAGGCACCATTCCTGAATCATTTTGTGGTTTTGATTCCCATTTAGGATCTCTCAGCTTGACCAACAATAGGCTCTATGGAGAGATTCCATTCAACTTTAGTTCTTGTAACTACTTGGAGATTTTGGATCTCGGCAATAATCAACTATCTGGTGTTATATCTTCAACTATGGGAGATGATCTATATTTGTTGAAAATTCTTAGGCTTCGACAGAACATGTTAAGGGGTAGCATCCCTTCCAGCCTATGTCGACTCTCATTCTTGCAAAGCTTGGACCTCGCAGGTAACAACTTAACAGGAACAATTCCTGGTTGCATTGGAAATCTTAAAGCAATGATTCAAGAGCAGTCATTAGACCTGGGATCAATCGAAGTTGAGGCTCCCGCACCTGCAGATGGTCCTTCTTTTGCGATAGCATTACCTCCTGAAATTGAATTTAATCATTGGGATAAAGAACATGTCAAGCAAGTCATGAAGGGAAGAGAATTTGATTTCACCAGAAATCTGAAGTTTGTAGTCAATTTGGACTTATCAAATAATTCACTGATTGGCTTCATACCTAAAGCTCTAACTTCTCTCACTAAATTGGTTAGTTTGAATTTATCGCACAATTGTTTGACAGGAGGAATCCCTAACAAAATAGGGAAACTGAACCTGCTAGAATCATTGGATGTCTCATGGAACCAACTCGCAGGCCCACTTCCAAGTAGCATGTCTTCTTTGACTTTCTTGAGCCACCTAAATGTGTCATACAACAACTTTTCAGGGCCTATTCCAGAGGGAAACCAGTTCTCCACTCTTGAGGATTCATCCATTTATGTTGGAAACCAATATCTCTGTGGAAAACCTGTGCTTAAAAAATGTTCCGGCAATAACACAAATGAAGCTCCCAGAAGTGTCCATTTTGAAGACAAGAATGAGAAAGAAAAGATTCTGTTTTACTTTGTTGTAGCCCTTGGTTTCATGACAGGGTTCTGGGGAATTATTGCACTCCTTGTGTTCAACAAGAGTTTAAGGTATGTTTGCTTTAGATATATGGAGAAAATAGCAGATGAATTATATGTAGCAGTAGCAATAAGGGCAGCAAGGCTCAAGAGAATGGGATTGACACTCTGGTGATGAGAGATTTTTTGCTCAGTGTTATGTTTTTGAGTTGTTGTATTCCTGTTAGGGATGGGATGTTTCTCTCCCAACCTCTTTGTATATTGTCGAGTTTCCTCCGTTATTTTGGAAATGAATGTTTGTAAGCAAGGGATTGAGTAAAATTTGTCAGCTGTTATGGCGCTTTCTCTTGTCTATTTGTTTCCTATTTGGTAGTAATGTGATACACTGATATGGCTTATATTGTCTTAGCATATTATGTGTATTCAAGATTTCTTACAAATTCTTGCACGCATGTTCTAATGGCTGTGTGACAGGAGTTTGGACTTATTTCTGGTGAAAGTTAATCGCTATTATAATTTAATTTGAACCTCATGGAGGTGTATAAATATCTATAAAATACCCTTGCTAATTCTGGGTATTGACTAGAAATACCATTTGATAGAACTTTTAATATATGCAATTACTATAAGGATTACATTGAAAAAAAAAAGGTAAATATAAGAAACAAAATGGATAGAGATCTTGTATTTAGAACTAAATTAAATATCAAATTAGCTCTTATATTAAGAATTAAAATTTGTGTGTATGTTTGTGTATATTTATATGATCTATTTTGCAAATGCTGTTGGTTTGTGTGGATTTTGATGTTGTTCCTTTTAAATTGTTTACGTGGCAATATGTTTTCGTGCAAATTGGAAGGGAGAACAGGCGAGCTCATAGAGTGACTTTTATTTGTGTTGTTATTTTCTTAGTTGGCCAATTAAAAATTAGGGAGAATTATAATCAAATCCCACAGAAGAGAAATAATTACCAAAAGATCCCAATAACAACCTCAACAGCTTATAATGACAAGTACTATAGTGAGAATGACAACCTCTGAGACTTGTTTTTCAATTTTTTTCCTTGCCTGGGACCTCCATATAATTCTTCCTAAAAATTATTTGATTTTTCTCGACTGGCACTTCTCGCTAGTGCTCAAATCTATCATGGAGTTATAGATAACGCTAAAGTTAAATAGAACCATCTTTTTATATGATGATTGTTAAAAGATTTAACATCTTTTTAATTACTTCTCTAATTAGTCTTTTGCTTTTTGTTTATGCTTGTTTTATTTTTATTTTTATTTTTCAATGGAGCAATGCCTCTTTTTATGTAAATTGGTTTTGGAGCTAATGCAACCAGAAGGAACTATGCTGGAGAAGGAACGAGTGGCCAGTACCTTCAACTGCACCATGAAAGGTGCAAAGCATAAATCTATTATTCATTTAGCTTCAACCCTTTAAGGGAATTTAATTTTTTGTAAATAGCAAGAGTTGTCAGATTTTCTATTATGTATTGATGACTTTTAAAATCAAAGGAAACATTTTATTTATATTTTTTTGAATATCATCCATCGCCCATTGTTTTCGTCTAAATGGTAAATACACACGCTAGCTAACAAAATTTTATCCGGTCTTAACTAAAAGGAGTTATTTTAATCCTAAATCTAACACATTAATTTTGTATTCTAAATTTATAATTTTTTTCTAAACCCTCCCTATTAATCACATATATTAAGGAGATTTTCAACGAAAATAACATTTTTTCAATACAAATAATTTAATTAAAGGTGATAATTTAGAAAAACTAATACACATTTTTTTATAAATACCTAATTTAATTAATTTTCTTAAGTGTTAAAAATTATTACTCCCAGTGTTTAATATAATAGCCAGATAACTAATTTGTATTAAAAAAAACTAGCTAAGTTAACTATTTGTAACATATGTGTGTTGAAATCCCTAAAACGCCCCTTTTTAATTAATCATATATATTAGAACCACCATTGATGAAAACCCTCTTAAAACGTATAATCAACAAGAATATTCTGAAAAAATAATTATAATTTTAGAAAACATAGTGAATTGAGGTGTTATAACTACCAAAATAAATCCTTTATCCAACTCCTATATTTAGGATTAAAAGAAATAGTTGTTTCATATGTTTAAGATCCGGATAGCACAAATACGCTAATATTATTATGAAAAACTTTGGCCATAAAAAAATATGAAAAACATATCCAGAAGATGTCAAGATTGGTGTCAAGAAAAAAAAATCAAGAGTCATTTTTGTCCTGAAAGTTGTCACAAAGAAGTTGTAGCTATTCAAGAAATTTTTTGGCTTAGTGTTGCCATGAAAGTGTTAAAAAAGAGCAGTATCACTTTTTCCAACGGCGGCAAAACAGTAGTCTATAACATCAAACCTTGTGTCACGTATAATTCTACACAGCCATCACCATGCTTTCCTGTTTAATCATTTTTGTCTCAGAAGTGTTAATGAAAGGAAAATAACAAAAAAAAAGTTGGAAACTTGTAAATGCCAAATAAATAATGTTAACAAAAATTTATTGTCATTTACTAATTTAGTATTGTCAACACCAAATAAAATGTTGTTACCAAACATGATATGTGATTTAGTAATTTCCATTTTTTTTTTTATCATTCTTCCAAAAAGAAATGGGTATTTGAATTTTTTTTCCTGTATAAAGGTATCCTTATATTAAAAGTAATTGTATTTAAAATATGGTCAAATACTAAACGTAAATACTTCTTTCAGAAAATATTCAAATGTTAGTTGACCATGATACAGGTATCCCATTTATCAAACTCTCCTTAATTGTTATGGGTATATCTTTGAAACCGCACAATTTTGCATAATTGACTCAGTCTTCTATATGAGAAGTATCAATAATTAATTACTTAAGTATATGTTTGGAGTTGGAACTAAATCATTATTGCATAAATTAACTTTGTAAAATTTGAATATCCATCTTAATTTTTAAATTATCAATATGCAATAACATGTAAAGATGCATTAAAATTAGGGATTTTATATATGTTTATTAAAATGTTTAGGATTCCTACATCAAATGTATGGCTTAATTTCATGTCCTCGGAAAAATTTTGCATCATTATACACAATTTTTATGAAGTAGTTTTTTTTACATCAAACCAATTTTTTAAATACTAACATCCCCCCAACGCACACGCCAAAAAAAAGAAGAAAAAACTGCATCAGTTAGCATTAGTTGACTAGTGAAACTGGGGTTCCATACAAGGGGTCTTAGTATGTGAATGGAGTGTGTGGGTTGATCACCACCACCTAGATTTGCTGGTATTATAATACATAATTTGATTCTCATTAAAATTTCAACTAAAATTTGTTCAGTACTAATAGTCTTGTAGGTTAGTGGCATATAAGCTCCTCTTGAACGTAGAGGTCACAGGTTCAATCTCACTTTGTAAGTGGAGATTGCAGGTTCAATCTTGTTTTGTGACCTCAAACAGTGTTTGTCTTTTTAATTTTTTTTTTTTAAAAAAAAGGAAGTTTGTTCAGTGGCATCATAGAATACCTATGTCCAAAGATCAATAAAGTCCAAATCATAGAAGATCAAGCACGTTTAGACTCATTTATCAATTTCCAACCACCTTTAATTTTTTTCCCCCTCTCTCTTACTAATTTCAACAAGTGAGCACTTGTCAGCAGTAATTAATTAAGCTGGTGGAGTTGAGTCTGTTAGTCATTACATAACGCAGTGTTGACTGGGTTTACAGGTGATCTTTTCTCCTGGGAATTCTTCATAGTCGACAGAACAAAAATACATTGCAATATCTAATCTCTGTGTCTTCCTCTTTTCTTCAATCTTATGGGTGAGTTTTCGAACCATGTTACAAAAGATAGCTTTACTGACTAGGTCTTCTGTATGACAGGCATGCAATATACGGGTAGAAATGAGTCTAAACCATTAATTCACTTAGTCTCCTATATTGCAAATATGAATATGTGAATCTTCCTTGTTCTTTTAGTCACCTATAAATACCAACCAGCTCATTGCCTTCTCACCCATAACTTTCCTTTAGCGAGCATGAGACGATCTCCAAGTGAGGTGCATTTAATTTTCTTTGTACTATTTTTTGAAGCTTCACAACTCTGTCTCTGTAGGAATCTGACTTTAGTAATCAAGCTCTTTTGAAGTTCAACAGCTTTGAGAATTGCTCGAGGTATGTCCTGTCTTGGGAGGGCAAACATTGCTGCAGATGGAAAGGAGTCAAATGTGATGGCATCACAGGACACGTGGTCAAGCTTAATCTCAGCCCCAAAAGCTGTTCAATGGATGAGCTCAGAAATCTTTCAAACTGCAGTCTCAAAATCTGAGGAATTTGCCAATGATTCATTCATTAATAACTACTGATTGTCAAGTAAAGCAATGAGCTCATCTTTGGAAGACTTGAAACGTTTGAACCAATTGGATTTAAGCTTCATTTATTTTCAATCTGGTCCAATCCCATTGTTACTTGGGTCCATGAAACAATTGCAGTACCTTAATCTGTCCAACTGTTACTTTATTGTTAGTGTACCTCATCATCTAGGAAACCTCACAAAGTTGCAGATTCTTGATTTCAACTCAGGTGATCAATTATTTCTTGCTAATGGCACATGTGATCAATGCTTATTTGTTGATGACTTCACTTGGGTCTCTCGGCTTTCTTCTCTACAATTCACTGGCATGAGTGACGCTTACATCAAATGGCAACAATTCCATGATGCAGGTAATTTCCAATATTCCCTTGTTACAGGCAAACTTTATGCACTGTGGAATTGACAGCTTGAGATTTTCTCATGGATCTGTGAATTCCTCCGCACTTCCTTCCAAGGTTCAAATCTTGAATTTTTCTTACATACTTATCTTGTATTCTATAAGTTATGATTGAAAAAATACTTATAAACAATTCCAACCAAGCCTTAATGTGCTGCTTCATCATGTTATTGAACACTTCCAAACAAAAATGAAGGAAAAGAGAAAATTTAGTTTTGGATTATTGAAGGAAGTGATAATTTAGGAAAAATTATAATAAGGTCTCACTTAAGAGAATTAAATATAAAAAAATTCATTGAAATTATCAAATTAATCTAAAGTCCCAAACGAATGATTACTTTTTTAGTTGTCAATACATATTTCAAAAAAAAAAATACAA